AAGTGACTAACATGGCTTTTGGGTATGGAGGCAGGTCAGCAGGGCAAGGGACATTCTCACACCTCCTCTGTGCGTATAGATCTGGCATTGGCACTGGGAGAAGCAGGGGGAGGCCCAAGACCTCTCAGCAGAAGAGCAGTGGCCAGCCTGTGGTTTCAAGTCTCATAGGACACAGCCAGAAGGCCGAGGTCTGTCACATTACCTGGATTTTCTGAACCTGAGGGCCATTTTTGATGCAATTACTAGAAGTTGTCATTTATGGACCTTTTGTTATAGCTTGGCACTGTAAGCTCTTACCCCACCTTCCTTAAAACTGAATAGGGCAAATGGTACTACACACATATGAAAACAGGAGCATAAATAGATAGGTAACTTGCCTATGTCATTGGGAGATATCCCACATGAAAGCTTTGCTCTAAACCATGGGTATTCGTCTAACCACTAGTTTCAGGCGCATGTGGGGGAACAATATGGCAAAGTGCGCTTTTCTCCTGAACAGGAGCGCTGTGGCGTGGGTCTGATCCTAGTCGGCTATGCAGAGATGACATGGAAGCACTTATGAAAACACTTCTTATTAGTAGTCATAAAGTGCTACTTAAAAACTGGAGTTAAAAGATTCAAGATATGTTATTGGCTTGGCATTGTAGCTTATGCTTGTAATCCCAGACCTCAGGAGGCTGACACAGAAAGATCACCGAGTTCCAGGCCAGCCTGGACTACACAGTGAGACCTTGTTTCAGAAAAGGTCCAAGGGTTTATCTCAGTAGTTCTGCCGCCTGTCTCACTGCTCAAGGTCTTAAGTTTGATCCCTGGTACCAAACCAACCAAACAAACAAAACAAAAACCAAACCAAACCAAACCAAACCAAACAAAACACCAAAAAAACAAAAAAGAAAAAAAAAGTATGGGCCAAGGTTTTAGAACAGTGGTTCTGCTGCCTGCCTCACAAGTGCAAGGTTCTGAGTTCGATCCCCAGTACCAAACAAATACAAAAAACCCCCAAAAAACCAACAAAACCCCCCAAAAAACCAAAACAAAAAACCCTCAAAAGAATAAAAAAACAAGTAAATACACTAGTTTTTTAAAAAGATATGTACTTGTACCATCTCCTACAATGAATATAGTCACTCTGTACTTCAAATATGTACTTAAAAAAAAAAGCTGGAATTACAGCTGCTACCTGAAAAAAAACGAAAACAGTGATATCATCCAATTCTGGTGAAGATACACTGAAAAGGACATTTGCATACACTGTTGGTGGATAATAAGTTCATAAAACATGGGAAAAATAATTTGGACAAATGTATAAAGAGCTATGAAACATTCACATGCTTTGATTCAGTAATTCCTTTTCTCAGTTCCCCCTTGATGTCAGAATCACTAAGACAATGACTGTTCTGAACTCCAGTGGATACTGAGAACATCATATTTATCTAGGGACCAAGCAAAGTAAATATGACTATAAACTGCCTTCAGTAAGATTTCTTTTTTTTTTTTTTTTTTTTTTTTTTTTTTTTTTTTAGATCTGTGCATGGAAAGAGACATATTTTTTTTTTTTTTTGTTGTTTTTTTTTTGTTTTTTTTGAGACAGGGTCTAGCCATGTAGTTGAGATTGACCTGGAACTCACTATGTAGCCCAGGCTGGTCTTGAACTCACAGCAATCCTCCTGCCTCAGCCTCCTGAGTGCTGGGATTACAGGAGTGCACCACCACACCTGGCTCTTCAAGTAAGATTTTAAATTAAAAAAAGAGCAAAGAGTAAAATTGTATACAGCTAACATTATAACTGTATATAAATGTACACCAGAAAGTGCACCAAAATGCTAAAAGTAGTTTTAGCAAAGTTCCCCCTTATATTAAAAATCATGTATTTACACATGCAAAAATAATTTATAATAGAGATTAGAGGAGTGCTCACTTTGAAGATACTGACTAGGAAAGGTTGCATAGAATGCTGGGAATATTCGAGATCTTGATAGTGGTTACACTGCATATCTATAGTTTGTGTGTATGTGTAATATAATTAATGTAGCCTATAATTGTACAGTTAAAATATGTGCATCTTGGTGTATATATAGCTTATACCTAAATAAGCTTTTAAAAATACGTATGTGGTTTGCACAGGCCAAAGTACAATACTTATTTTTTAAAAAAGGCATAGACTTCTTTTTGCCTTGTGCATGCCATGCTGTTTCTCTTCTATGAGGCCTGTTTGCCATTCCTGTCTTGGAGCCAGCTGATTATAGACTGAAACCTCTATAAACTGTAAGCCAAATGAACCCTTTCTCCTTGAAAAAAAGACACAGTCAGTTAAAAAGTCCATGTAGGAGAGAGGGAGGCAGGAGTAGGACTCCTGCTACGGAGATGGAGAGGAGAGAAAGAAGAAGGGAGACATCAGTGCAGTGGTTGCACTCATGGGTTTCCAGTCCAACTTGGGGAGCTGACCTGAAAGCAACTGTGAGAGATCTGGAGGGGCATCTAGTGAGCTCAGGGCCAGGTGATGGGAAGGAAGTTTCTTTTACTAATCCTCTAAGTGAAAGATGAGGAGGAGTCAGCCATGCAAAAAATTAGCCAGGCAAATATCCTGCCTGAAATTTGGAGCTCAGGAGCATGGGGGAGACAGGGAAAGAGAATCAAAGAGACTGAATTATGGGCATGTTTTCAGGCCATTTTCTAGAAAATTCTATGCTGATTTGGCTTGGAGACTAGGTTCACTTTATATCCTTGCTGTTGGCAAAGTAGATGTCTTCATCTGGTGGCATCCTTGACAGAGATTTGTTCTGAGAGACTCTCCAATACTCACAAGAAATTGTTTACACCATCAGTGCCTAATGCCTTATTTTTGCTTCACTCCAAAACACCTGGAGGGAATGGGGGAACAAGGGATATTACATCTACAGGATGTGATAAGCTCAGAGTAGTGTGTGATATGTCCCACAGTTTCTGCAGCAGCAGCTGGCTTAGTGTGGTGGTTCTGAGCCAGGCTGCATATATCTGAATCCCAGCACTGTTGTGCATGAATTGTGTGACTTTGGGCAAATCACTTAACTTCTGCCAGTCTCCATTTTATCATCTGCAAAACTGGCATAAGAATAGAACAGATCTTTTAAGATTGTAGTGAAGGTTAATTGAGATAATGGAAGTAAAGCAGGCCAGGCATAGTGACACACCTATAATCTCAGCACTCTGGGAGGCTGAGGCAGGATGATCACTAAATTTGAGCCTAGCTGGGGCAGTTTAATGATTTAACAAGGCCAGGGATTTAGCTCAGTGGTTTGGTGGCCTGCCTTGCAAGCGCAAGGACTCAAGTTCAATCCCCGGTACAAAAAAAAAAAAAAAAGAGGAGTAGGGGTGGGGATATAGTTCATTGCTGGGTTCATTTCGCAGGACCATGGCTGGGGGAGGAGGGGAATAAAGGAAAGAAAGAAAAAGAAAGAGAAGGTAAAAGACTATGTGGAGGAAAGGGTCCAGGAGGACCTCTCCTTCGCAGTATATAAAAATTTGAGGATTCTCAAGATTCTTATATAAAATGGTGTAATATTTCCACATAAACTACACATATCCTCCAATATACTTTTATTTATTTATCCTCCTATATACTTGAAATCACCCCTAGAGTACTTAAAATTACTAATACATACAGTTGTTAAAGTGTGTTTTTTAGGCAATAACAACAAGAAAAAAAAGTATGTATTACAGATGGTTTGTGTGGAACAGGGTTTTCATAAGTCCCTAAGATACCCAGACAGGGTTTGAACTTTTGATCTTCCAGTCTTAGGGCTGGGCTTACAGGCATGCACCACTGCACCCAGCTCCTATTTTCTTTCATGGACTTTGATAGAGGGTCACAGTCAGTGTGGGATACTTTTTGTGTGTGGGGAGTTGAGACTGTGGCAGGGGGTCTAGCTGTGTAATTTAGGCTGGCCTTGAACTCCCAGTTATCCTTCTTTCTCAGCCTCCCGAGTGTCGAGTTTACAAACACGTCCCACACCATCTGGCTTTCTGTGTGGATTTTTTTGAAACAGGGTCTCACTATGTAGTCCAGGTTGGCCTTGAACTCACTATATAGCCCAGGCTGGCCTTGAACTTGTGCCTCAGCCTCCCGAGCACTGGGGTTATGGGCAGGCACCATGGCGCCCAGTCAATGTAGGATTTAAAGAACTAGCTATGAGAGGATAGGAAACCCAGATCTGGGGAAGTAAGATCTACTCACAGCTCTAACTGGCCCCTGTCTTGTCTTCTTTTCTCTCTTCATCATCTTCTGCTGGGCTCCACTGTGGGTTGTGGCTACATCATTAGGAGTATGGAACTCAGGCTACAGGGGGTGAGGGAACATCTTCCTTCTGCTGCCGAAGCTCCTGACACAGTTAGCCCCAAGCACCCTGGAGTATATCTGAAATCACAGGTCTAGCAGGGGAAGGGAATGGGAAGGGTCTCCAGTCCTGGGGGCCAGCCACACATAGTTTCCCTTACCCAAATGTACTGTTCCTTGGCCAGTTCTGTGTGGGCCTTATGAGCCAGTCTTGCTAACAGATGACCCCTGCTTTTCCCACCTCTCTGCAGAGAAGGAATAACCTCTCACCTGGCCCATATGGAAAGCAATTGTGCCTGGGAAGGCACCTCAATGGGATGTTCAGGTTACATAGGATCCCATCCGTATGCACATGGGCCAGGGGACATTGAATAGGCAACCAGGTCAGCCAGGTGCCCTGGTGTAGCATTATCTTAGGGATAAGCAGAATCAGCTCTTGGGAAGTCAGATGTTATTTTTCCACAGATCTTGCAAGAGTTTTCCTGAGAACATTCATAAGTTTCTTGGCTGCACAAAGGGAACACAGGCAATGATATGGAATGGCCTTTGACCTCCAAGACTGACAGATATGGACTCCAAGTTGACTTAGTTGCTCACCATCTATGTGTTAGTGTGGGTGATGAGGTCCTGGATAGGTTACTAGGTTCTTGTGTGCTATGAACAAAGAACTGGATATGGTATGCGATGGTAAGGAAAAAGCAGCAAAATTTATTTAGAAAACAGTATGCTCAGAGTGATTAGGCCATGCCAGTGGAGACGAAATGCCATTGAGTATTGAAGGTGTTAAAATGTGCCAGATGTAGGGTGCCTCTCATGGGGCTTCCAGAGCATGACTGACAATGTGATTGACAGTGCTTACTCATGTCGCCTGTGGCTACTGCACACGTCCTTCCTCATACTTTACTACTGCAATGGATGAATGAGATGCAGCGTGTATGTACAAACCTTCAATGAGCTCTGAAGAAAGGTTATATAGGTGATTCAGGAGGATCTGGCACACATGTCTCCTGGTTTTGAATTCTGGAATTTTCCAGGGGAGGCTCAGGGGTCTTTCTTTTCTTATCTTTACCTCTGGGTAGTAAGCCTTAGGACAAAGGTCGAGGGGTTGGCCCTGGGGCATTATCCAGATTCAGGTGAGTGGAGGGGAGTAGCTCCATAGCTACAATTGTACTATCTATATTAACAATATAAATTCTTTTTTTTTTTTGGTACTGGGGATCGAACTAAGGACCTTGTGCTTATAAGGCAGGCACTATGCCACTGAGCTAAATCCCTAGCCCCTTCTCTTAACAGATTTAAAAAGCAATTGTATGAAGTACAGTAATGTGTTTATAATGTGTTATTGGTCTGACAACAGATAGATGTGTAATATATTTGCCAGTGACAGAACAAAGGAAATGGGTGGGAGTGAAGCTGTTTCGCTCATGCTGTTCCCTCTGTGTCAGCCATAGGTGGCTGTTTGATATCATTGAAAGCGCTAAAAGATTCGCCATCAGTGATTTATGTGGAATGACCCTCCTTGTGCAATCAAATTAGGGACTCCTAGTTATCCTCCAAAATCCAGCTTATCACCTTCTGCTTTTCTGGACGTACTCTGCAACCCTAAGGACAGAGCCAGATCCTGCAGCCTCTTGCATGGTTTCTACATGCCCAGCCTTATTACATAGACAAGGAACCTAAGTCCTCTGTGACAGGAGAGACCCATCCAAGCTCTTGGGTAACCCAGGCCTAGAGCATGGCTGAGTCTCAGCGTCTGGCCTGGCTGCCTGCAGAGGGGCTTGGTGTGTGTGTGTGTGTGTGTGTCTGTGTGTGAAGGAGCTCTGATCTGAGCCTGTCCTCTTGGAGCCTCTGATCAAAATGGGAGATAATGGAGGAATTTATACCAACTGCCTGTATTTGTCAGGTGACCTCTATGAGGGCAGTCCCAAGTCTGACTTCAGAGGTCCAGGGTACCTTCAAGGCCCTCTTGCTGCTGCCACCAATACGATCTCTTTCTCCAGAACTCTGGCCTGGCATTTGTCATCATTTGTAGGAGCCCTGCACAATGGTGATGCTGGGGAACAAGGAATAGGTGAAGGGCTGGGAGTCTGGGTAGACCAGAAGCCTGGCCACACTCTCCTGACCTGTTCTGCTGTGTCTGGTTGGAGTTCTGGGAGCTGTGTTGAACTCTCCCAGAGGCTGGGTCCTCCAGCTGGGGAGGGATTGAGGAGCCTAGACATTAGGGCTAGGAGTGCACTGAGGATGCAGCTCAGTGACACCAAACCTGCCTGGCAAGCGTAAGGTCCTGAGTTTGATCCCTGGGCTCTAGCTGGTGAAGGCCATGTGAATGTGGGTCTATGGGATTCTAATCTGTCTAGATATCGCCAGATCCTGATCTTGGTGTGGACAACAGAGTGGGGTCAGGTTTATCCACATTTTCTTTTGTAAAGGACGAAGATTAAGACAAGAAACAGTGTGAGCTTAGGGTGAGTTGTGCTGTAATGGATACATATTTAGGACTATGGGGCCCAAAGAAGGAAGGCTTCCTGGGAAAGAGCTTGACCAATGAGCTAGGCCTTTCCAGGAAGGAAGGGGGCAAGGCACTTCAGGGAAAAGCAGGAACTTGTGCAAAGGCCCAGAGGTGGGAAGCAACTTAGTGACATTTCCAAGGGCACTATGCCAGTACTGCAATAGCTGATGCTTAATGGGACATGAGCCCATATCAGCCCAGTTTATGTTAAAGTCTCTTAGCAAGAGTAGAAAGAGGCCACCTGGCTGGGACACTGTCACCCTTTGGGTTGACACCAGTCAAGAAGACCCAGGCCTTGCTTCAAGAAGACCCAGGCCTTGCCTCAGAGCTCCTCTGGGGCCTTCCTGCCTTGCTTCTGTTGATGCCACTGTTGGATCTTGCTGGGGAGTGTCTCTGTCCAGAACTGCATCTGGGCCTCCTTCAGCTTCTGCTTGACCTGTGGCACCAGGCTGATCTCCAAATATTGCTCCAACTGGTTGAATTGGGGCCAAAGAGGCAGCCCCTTGCCATTGGGGTCCCTGGGTAGAAAGAATGAATGAGGACTAAAGCCTCCCGTGCTGTCCTCTTGGGGGCAGATCTGAGTCTTAGCCTCACTCACTTATTTACTCACTCACACACTCACCCTGTTCGGGCAAAGTGGGCCCACTGGGCCATCATGGTGAGGCTCAGCTGCTTCTCTTCCTCTGTGGCCTCTGGAAAGGCTGGTGGGAATGATAGACCTGTATTAAAATCAGGTTGGGCCTGGAGGGGACCCAAGGGGCCCTGTGCTGACTGGAGACCTCTATTCCTGCCAGTCCAGCCTGGCCCTTTGGAGCACAGAAGCCCAGGGATTGCATGTCTGCCTGCCTGCTCTTACCTAGGAGGGTGTTTTCGTCCATGAGGAAAGGACCCCCGAACATGAATGCAATCTCAGCTGCATGGTCAGCCTTCACCCAGGGTGGCTTGATCTTTGCAAAAGAACTGGGTACATGCTGGAATTCATAGAAAAAAATGGGGGTCCCAGAACCTGCAGAGAGGGGGCAAGACTGGAGTCAGGAGTTGATAAAGCCTGGCTTGGTCCTGAATCCTTGACAACACAAGCTCATGGTGACATCAATCCTGATCCTAATAACAATGAAGGCACAATGATTAACAGCAAGCATTTCTGAGCTCTTGCTAAGTGTTGAGCACTCTCTGGGTGCCGAATGTGGGACCTTTCATTTAGTCTTCATAAGATCCTTTGGATTAGATTGTAATTATTTCCATTTTACAGATGAGGAAAATGAGGCACAGAGGGGTGTAGAGTCTTGCTCAAGGTCATAATGTTAAGAATTTGGGGGATAATCTAGAGCTGTGTCTGGGATCAGCTGCCAGGCTTGGAAGAAGCACAGCTTCTGCCAGAAAAAGAACCAGAAGAGGTCAAAGTTGCCCATGAATAGAATAAATCCCCTTTAATTGGTGATGGGCCCTTCTGTATGATTTGTGACAAGCCATGGTACCTCTCTGAGCTTTTGTTTTCTCCTCTGCAAGGTATTGTTCTAGAGACAGCTGTTACTATTGTGATACTTCATGCCAGAAAAAAGAGGTTTGGGGAGGCAGAAGGGCACAGGGTTCAAGGCATTTGGGGAATCTGCACCTGTCAACACACGTTGCCTGTGATATCCCAGTTCTTGGGCTCAAGTGGGGCTGGGTGAGGCAGGTGGCCAGGGACGGGCTTACCTTGGAGTTGTCTTGAGAAATTCAAAGCAGGGATGTTGAAAACAATATCGCCAGCCAATTCCTGGAAGTCTTCACGTCTGGGTTGTGCATCTGAGTCATTGCCTAGATACTGGTCTATGACCATGGACATCATCTCAGGAGGTATATTCTGGGCCAAGAAGTCAGGGTTAGGTCTGTTCAAGTCCTTTCCAAAAGCTCCCTTCACATCCAGGGGCTCATACTACAGGGCTCAGCCACCTGCCTTCCACCCTGGCAGTTCTAGCTGGTGTCTAGGTAGGAGAAGCTCAGGTCTGGAGTCATATCCTAGCTTGGTGGTCACTCCTTGGCTGTGTGACCTCAGACAGGTGTCTTATCCTCTCTGAATGTCAGTTTCTGCCTGGCAGGGTTGTTTGGCAGCCTATGTAAAGTCGCTAGCACAAAGTCTGGCCTGGAAATAGATATTCAGTTGAAGTTAACTTGGAAATAAGAGAAAGAACAAATGATAGGGGTTCCCCACAGCTCCCAAGGGCTGTACTGAGGATATATGAATGGGGAGGCTCTAGGGCTTTTAAGGAAGAGAAGTGCACATAGATTGAGCACTTCTTTTGAGTCAGGTCTCACTATACAGTCCAGGTTGGCCTACAACGTGAGATCCTCCTGCCCCAGCCTCCTGAGTGCTGGGATTACAGGCATGCACAATCACACCTGGCTCCTGGTAGACTTTTCAAATGCAGTATTCTTCTTATAGGTGCTCAGCTGAGTGGAAAATATCATTCTCATCTATAAGAATGGACCCAACCATGTGGCCAGAGCTAGGATTTGACCCCAGCTCCATCTGGCTCCATATCTGACAGTGTGTAACAGCTGAGGCTCTGGGGTCAGACAGAGCTGCCTCAAACTGACCCTGGCCCTTATTCACTATGAAGCCTGAGCCTCAGTTTCCTCATCTATAGAATGGGGGATAATGAAAGCCCTACTTCACAGAGCTGCAGTTAGGATGGAAGCTGATGAACGCCTGTTGTAATGTTCAGCATGGCTCAGTCCCTGGAACATAGGTCATGCTCATAAGGGGGCAGTTTTTATGGTGACAATAAAGATAATGACAGTGATTTTCCTCTGAGAATTACATTAACTCCACATAGATTCTGGGGTGGAACCAAAATTCGATAGATGGACCAAGGTGTGGGCAGCTGTGGGTGTTGGAGGGTAGGAGAGACTCCTGGATTAGATGCACACCAACCTCTTCCCTCTGCCTTTTGCCTTACCAGACTGGCCAAGAAGGGCTTCAAGAGGTCCGGTATGTGCTCCCGGCTCATCTGCTCCATCATATCCAGCATACCCAAGGCCTGTAGGAATACCAAGGCATATTCAGTTCAACTAACTGCTGCCCCCAGATGTACTCCCAGCCCTGGCAGGAAAGCATTCACAGCCCTGTTCAGAAACTCATTACAGAGCCACATGTGGTTAAACCCACTAGTCCACAGACCCCAGAAGATAAACCTCAAACTGGCAAAGGATGTGGTGGCTGGGGACAGTAGCATCACATACAATAGGCAGTAGCTGATGGCAGAACCTTAGAGAATGAGAGAATTACTCAAAATTTTTACAGAATAACATCAAGACCCCTGGGACTATAGCCGGAGCCACAGGAAAAGTTAAAAAGGCCAAATGTTGGCTTCACATGCTACAGTTTTAGAAGTACTGGACTCAGAAAGCTCTGACTCTCTGGACTCAAATCCCAGCTCTGCCATTTACTAGATGCATGACTTACACTCTCTGTGCCTCAGTTTCCTAATCTGTCAAAGAGGAAGGACAATGACCTGCCTCATACTATTGTTGTGAGGATAGAATTAGTGTATAGAAGGCCTGACAATTTTAATGAGGTGGCCAAGTGCTTAAGGCGCTAGACAGCTAAAAGGCCTGACACAGAGTAAGCACTATGAGAGCCAAACTATTTATTAAAGTTCACTTCATCAACCCCTTAACTCTGTTAACTGTGCAGAAAATTAACATATGAATAAATAGTGTGCTAACTCCTAGTGTTACAGTTTATATCTACATATCCCCCAAAAGCCTTATATGATCATACGTGGGGCTTTTGGGAGATGATTGGATCATGGAGGTGTAATACTTATCTGTGTGGATTAGCTCACTGATGAGTTCTTGGCTAACTGTGATGGTGGAAGGTGAATCCTGGTTGGAGGAAGTGGGTTACTGGGGGTGTGTGGCCTGGCAAAGTCTATCACCATCTCTCCTCTCTTGATCTTACTGTGCTTCCTGTTGCCATGCCTTGAGCTGTTTATCCTTTGCTCTGCTAGTCAAAACTACAGACTGAAACCTTTATTAACTGTGATCCAAAATAAAGCTTTTCTCCTTTGTGTTGTGGGTGTTGGGTATTATGTCTTGGTGATGAGAAAGTAACCTGAGATACTCAATACATGTATCTCTGAAGGTGAGCTCATTTGGAGAACGTGTCTTTGGGAAGCTAATACAGTTATGTTAAGATGATTGCAAAGGTAATCATTATGGTTAGATTTCATCCAATATGACTGGTGACCTTGGAAGGGTGAAACAGCGACAGAGGAAAGATAATGTGAAGATACTGTGAAGGGGGAAATTCTACAAGCCAAGAAATAGCTGAGGCTACCAGAAGCCGGGAGAGAGGCTGATCGTCTCTCATAGCACTCAGAAGAATTCAACCATGCAAACACCTTGATTTCAGATTTCTAGCCATCCTGTGATATAACAGCTCGCTTGCATTCATTCATTCATTTTTTTTTTTAATGAGACAGGGTGTTAATACGTAGTTCAGGCTATCCTTGAACTAACTATGTAGCCTAGGCTAGTCTCAAACTTGTGGCAATTCTTCTGCCTCAGCTTCCCAAGTACTGGGATTATAGGTGTGCACCACCACATCCAACTGAGATGACAGCTTTCTGTTGTTTAAGGGCCCCAGATGGCACTTTCTTATGGCAACCCTAGCAAACTATTGTAATAGTTTTGTAAAAGAACAAAGATTGAGAATGTCTATTTCCTAATTTCAAAGTTACTTCAAAATCATAGCAATTGAGATAGTGTGGTAGTGGCATAAGGATAGACACAGAAATTATTGGGATAGATTTGAGAGTCTAAACATTATGCCTTTACATTAACAGTCAGTTGGGCTGGGGATTTAGCTCAGCGGTTTGGTGGCCTGCCTCGCAAGTGCAAGGACCCGAGTTCGATCCCCGGTACCAAACAAACAAACAAAACAAACAAACAAAAAATTACATTTACAGTCAGTTGATCTTCCAGAAGGGTGCCATGAAGGCAATTCATAAGGAAAGAAATGTTTTCAATAACATGGGGTTAGGACAACTGGATAACTATATGCAAAAGAACCTCTAACACCATATACAAAAACTAACTTCAAAGCTTCTTATGGAGGTGGATGCCTGCATTCTCAGCTCTCCAGATGGCTATGATAGGAGGATAGCAGGTTCAAGCCCATCCCTGGCAATTTAGTGAAATATATGAAAATATGAAATAAAAAAAGGGCTTGGGAGGTTGCTCAGTGTGAAGGCCTTGAGTTCAATTGCTAGTGCCCAAATCAACCAACCAAATGAAAAACAAAAAACAAAAACAACAAAAAAACCCCAACAAAACATCTCTTTTTTTGGTACCGGGGGTCGAACTTAGGACCCTGTGCTTGTGAGGCAGGCAGCAGAACCACTGAGCTAAATTCTGGCCCAAAAAACCAACAAAGCTGCTAATGAATCACAGACGTAAAGATAAAGAGCTAAAATTGTAAAATTCTTAGAAGAAAATATAGGACTAAATCTTTGTAATTTTGATTAGGTGAAGGATAAGCCACAAAAGAAAAAAATATATGAACTTCATAAAGATGAAAATTTTTTTTTTGGTACCAGGGATTGAACTTGGGTCCTTGCGCTTGCAAGGCAGGCCACCGAACCGCTGAGCTAAATCCTGGCCCTAAGATGAAAAATTTTTGTTGCAAAGAAAATTGCCAGGAAAGTGAAAAGGCAATGAACAAATGCACAAAATGGAAGTAGGCACAAATCCTACCTGATAAGAAACTTGTATTCAGAATATGTAACTCAGTTGGGCAAAGTGGTGTATGCCTGTAAATCCTAGCATTCTGTGTTCTCCAAGGGTTCATGTGTAAGAAGCTTGAGCCACCCATGTGACAGTGTAGGGATTTGACAAATCTTTAAGAGGTGGGACCTAGTGGGAAGTGTTCAGTCATTGGGAATTTGTGCTTGGAAGAGATTAACAGTACTCACAAGATCCCTGCTTAGTTCTCCCAAGAGCCAAATGTATTATGAAAGAGCCTCTCTCTTCCTGTCTAATGATACCCCACCCCACACACATGTTCCTGCCATTGATAATACAATATTGTATTATCAGGACCTTGCTCTTGCAAGGCAGGCAGCAAAACCACTGAGCTAAGTCCCCAGCCCTATTAATACAATCTTGCAATTTGTCATCTGGTGATAGAATGAGACTTGGGAATGTGGAGTGGGACAGCTTTCCTAGAGCCAGTACCAGGTCATTGGACTTTCAGCCTCCAAAACTATGAGGCAAATAAACCTCTTTTCTTTACAAATCACCTAGACTCTCATGTTTCCTCGTAGTAATGGAAAACTAATATATTCGCACAAAAACTTATATGGGAATGTTCTTAGGAGATTATCCACATGGCCAAAAAGGAGGAAACAATTCAGTATGGTTTACATCTAGATGTTCCCCCAAAGCCTCATGTGCTCATAGGTAGGGCTTTTGGTGTTTTTTTTCTTGTACCAGGGTTCGAGCTTGGGACCTTGTACTTGTGAGGCAGGCAGTGGCACCACCAAGCTAAATCCCTGGCCCTAGGTAGGGCTTTTGGGAAGTGGGTAGATTCTGAGTGTGTGATACTGAATTTAGCGTATATGAATATGGATTATGTTTGTATAATAACTGGATCAGCCACTGATTGGATTAGGGATTTTTTTTTTTTTTTGGTACCAGGGATTGAACTCAGGACCTTTTGCTTGAAAGGCAGGTGTGGTGCCACTGAGTTAAATCCCCAGCCTTAGAGTAGGGTAATTCTGAGTGTGGTTGAATGGATTTATGGAAGACAGAAGGCCTATCCTGGGTGTGGGAGCCACTAACCAATAGACTTTTAGCCTGAGTAGAATAAAAAAGGGAAGGAAGGCTTGCTGCTTGCTGTCTGCCAAACCATGAACTGTTTGTCCTCGCCACACTGCTTTGGAGCCACTCTACTATGGACTGAAACCTCTACAAACTGAGCAAAAATAAACCTTTACTCCTTTAACTTGTGGGTGTCAGGTATTTTGTCCCAGCAATGAGAAAAGTAACTAAGACACAATCCAAATGTGTATCAACTGATGAATGGATAAACAAACTATGGTATATCTATCTATTCTATTGATGCTCTGGCCATAAAAAGGAATGAAGGCCTGATACATGCTATACTTTGAATTAACCTTGAAAACATCGCGAAATAGATCAAACCCCAGAAGACATCTATTTTATGTTTCTCTTTTGATGAAATGTCCAGAATAAGTGCATAAATAGATGTGACAGAAGTAGATTACAGACAAACAGTTTAGAGGTTGTCAGGGGTAGTGGGAGGAGACTAGAGAGTGACAGCTAATAGGATCAGAGCTTCTTTTTAGAGTGATGCAAATGTTCTGGAATAAGATAGTGAAGGTTTCACAACTTCGTGAATATACTAAAATGCACTAAATACTATGCTATATGGAGGTGAGTTTTATGATGCATAAATTATATCCTAATAAAGCTGATTTTTTTTCTTTAAAAATTTTTTTTGAGACAGGGTCTTGATATAGAGCTCCGGCTGGCCTCAAACTCATGGCGATCTTCTTGCCTCAAACTTCCGAGTGCTGAGATTACAGTTATGTGCCACCATACCTGGTGAGGGCATATATTTTGAGATGGAGTCTTGTTATGTAATCTAGGTTGACTTTGAACTCACTATGCAGCCCAGGATAGCCCTAAACTCAAAGCAATCCTCCTGCCTCAGCTTTCTGGGAACTGGGATTACAGGTGTGCACCACCGCACCTGGCTGCAAATGCCGGTAAGTTTGCAATAAAAACCTGGAATCTGAAGTTGAGTTTAGGAGGTACTATGGCAATGGTCATATATAAGAAGTATGGGAGGGGGAAACAGTTTCATGAAGAGTATCACACTCTCTTGCCATGCTTAAACTTTGAGCATGTATATTTAGTTAATATTGAACTAGCTGAAAAATGTATACTTGCAAAAAGAAATGTATACTTGCATTCACATGGATACCAAGGTGAGTCAGGAAACCCCTGCACTGGTGATGCGGTGAGCAGCTCTTGGAACCACAGATTGCTGAGAACCATCCTTGCTACCAGCTATGTGCAGGTCTTGGCAGCCAGCTACATTGGGTTTCTGTAAAATTTACACTTACCAACTCTAAAAAGTTGACAATGTGGAGGTGAAGCTGCCTGCCAGAGTGTGGCACAACAGCCTAGAAATGACAGAGCTTCGTCCTTCAAAGTAAGGTTACATGAGCTTCTACTGTAAGCCAATACTTCTTTTGGGAATGATTCCAAAGGAATAAGGGATAAAAATTGTGGATATAAAGATATTCCCTACACTGTTAACTGCAGTGGTATAAACTAGAACCTGCTCAAATGCCAAAGTGAAATTTTTGTGTGGGGTTTGCAGGTGTGAAAAGCAGTTGCTGGATTGGGGTTGTGTGTAGATTAATGGTAGAGTGCTTGTCTAGCATTCATGAGGCCCCAGTCTTCATTCCCAGCCCTGAAAATATTAAAAAAGTAATTGCGATGAATATGGGTAGACAAGTAAGAATGGTGCAAGATTCTCATGCTCTTGTCTGGGGGAAAGAATGATATTGACACTACTGTGGGAAATTCTGTGCCACTGGAGTAGACTGGAAGGTTCTTGGCCTGTGATGTCCCCACTGACTTAATGCTATTTGAAACCTGAGTCTCAGGTTGTCAGTCAGTCCAGCACAGTCACCCTAACCAGTCTCACAGAGCCTGATACATAAACCAGACACCAGCAGAAATCTGCTGAGACTCAGTACTGCACAGAAGACCTCTTTGTGTAAAACTTGACCTCTGGAAAGGGAAAGTTTGCTTTGTGAAAGTGAAGTTGGGGCCGGGGATTTAGCTCAGTGGTTTGGTGGTGTGTCTTGCAAGAGCAAGGACCCAAGTAAAGAAAATGAAGCTGGATGATTTTTAGTTGGTGACTCTAAAACCTCTGTAAGCCTCAAGTTTCTCACCCACCAGATGGGAATAACAGGAACATTCAGCACACAGGATGGTAGTGATGGTCACAGCCTTGAAGGGGAGTGATCACCAGAGTCACCCTATGGGACACTCACCCTGGGGATGAGCCATCCAAACTCATGATTGTTGACACCTATGAGGAAGGGTACAGGGTGGAATTGCCTGTCCTTCAGGAGCTCCTCAGGGCTTTTGGGAAAGAAAGAGCCATCGATGCTGTAGGTAGAGACTACCATTTTCTGCAGGAGAAAGCAAAACAGAAACCCATCCCCCGACACCCCTGTCAGGAACAAGCCTCAAAGGATGAGGCCCCAGGAGTCACCTTGCTGTGGGTCTGAGTGCCTGAGGCTTCATGGAAGATGAGGAGATGGAGATTACTGGAGTCTGGGGCCCAGAGGGAGTCAGGAGACCTGAACAAGTGTTGCTTCCAAGTAGATGCAGTCCCCAGAAGACAGGGCCAACCCTTGGGGCCAGGGGCAGTTCTCAGTCCCTTTCTCTGATGGAGAGCTGCTCCAAGCCCCATCCCAGATGGGTGACTTCCCATCTGTCCCTGCAGGAGCTGGACAGGCGCTCCTCTGGGCCTCTGCTTGTCACCATCCCCACAGAGGTGGCATACCGATGCTTGGGCATGGATCAGCTCCTCTCCTTTCTTCTGCCGAAGGCACTGTACCAGCTCAGCCGGGGAATCAGAGCTGCAGGCCAAGGAGTCTGCAAGGCTCTGGGGACAGACAGAAATACCCTTCTTCTCAGCCCCCTACCCCTGCCCTCCTGTGGAAGGGGGTGCACCTGTAGGACTGGGCTGTGATATCACAGACCAAGTCCAAGCCTGACCAAAGACCTGTCACCACCTGTGGGAGGCCTCCCTTTCCCCGTGTGTACCTCAATGACACCCAACTATGACTGCCTCCCTCCCTCCCTCTCTCTTTTTGATTTTTTTGAGACAGGGTCTCACTATGCAGTTCAGTCTGGCCTTGAACTTACTATGTAGCTTAGGTGGGCCTCAAACTGGCGGCAATCTTCTTGCCTCGATCTCTCACGTGCTAGGTTTACATGCATGCAGTACCACACGTGGGTTTTATTTTTTATTTTTTTATTTTTTTTTGCTTGGAGAGAACATTTCCCTTTGAGACCTGTGTCCTTTGATGTGTCATTCGTAATAGCTTGTGGAGTGAATGACACGAGAAGGGGTTGGAGAGGGAGGGCATCAGTGTGGGCACGCCCTGGAAATGAATGGTGGGGATGCTGAGACTGCAGCAGGGCCAGGGGGTCACTGAGAAATGGGGCTGGAAGGACAAGTGTGCTTCAGGCGACACAGCGAAGGACCCTGAGTTCATGGTGGAGACAGTCTCTCCTGTCACAATGAGGAGACGGGCAGGGAAGCTGCTGCTCTTATGCAGACAAGAGGCAATATGCCCTGCTGCAGGCTCAGACTTGTTGCCCTCCTGCTTCTTCCTGCCCTCTGATCCAGTGCAGTTTGAGGTTCCTATAATGCCCAGCACCTTCACTTCCAGCTCATCCCTACCTGAAGCTTCCTGCTTCCAGGACCATGACTATCTCATACCTGCAGCCTAAGCAGTTGCAGTGCCCATTTGGGAAACCTTCTGTGGCATCCCCTGGTGACTTTTCACAAGGTCCTCAGTGAGGACCGAGGGTGGGATCTGGAGGCTGAATGGCGATCTCTCTGGCTGGGAATGCAGGGATCCCTAAGCATTCTTGGGGAGAGATGTGCTCCCCGAGATCCTACCCTGGGGAATGGGCCAGAGAGTCTGCTTCTCCACAAAGTGACAGCCGACGGCCCATCCCCAGGAATGCACTGGAGTTTTCTCTGAGCTTCTGTGTTTTCTTTATCCTAGTGGGTTCCTCTTTGAAACAAGGATCTCCTATGGGTGACTATTCCTGACTTAGACCTCTGAGCCAGCACATCATGGGATGTGTGGAACACATGGAATAAGAATGAAGGAAATGCAGACCTGAGCTTTGAGCCATAAATCAGACCCTCTTAACAGTGGGACAAAGATGACTCCACTCTGTGCAATGGCTCTGTGGAACAGTCCTGTGGCCATTGGAGACAGCACCTGGGTGCAGCAGAGAGGACGGATCATTGTCAGCAGAGGACAAAGGAAAAATCTGGGACCCCAACCATAATTGCTAGATGCCTGTGGTGACTCACCAGGGCAGAGACAATGGAGGCACCCGCAGATCCACCAAGGATGGTGACACAGTTGGGATCACCCCCGAAGGGAGTGATGTTCTCCTGCACCCAGCGTAGAGCGGCTACCACATCTAAGAAGCCCTGGTTGCCAGGCACATGCTTGTCCCCAGTGCTAGGAGCAGGACGAGGTAGTGGTTAGTTCAAGCTGGTCCTCTGGACATTTATTTGTTGGCCTTGGTGGGTTTGCTTTGAATCAGTCATGAGAACGGTGAGAACCTTTCTCTGCTCCCAAAGTCTGGCCTGGGTCTGAACCATGCTTGTTCTCTATATGCCCAGTCTGTGGTATGGGCAGGCCCAGCGGGGCAGCTAGCCAGGGCTGGCTTTCAGGTGGCTGCCAGAGCTTGTTGCTTTTTGCCCCCATACTCTGCTGAGACATGAGCCCCCTCCCAGAAACTAATACTCATTGCCCAATGGGCCAAGGCCAAGCTCAGTGTACAATTCTGGTCTTATTTTTGCCCCTCCCCTGAGATGAACTTTGGAGAGCAAAGCTCCTTTCTTTCTTTTCTCTCTCTCTCTCTCTCTCTCTCTCTCTCTCTCTCTCTCTCTCTCTCTCTCTCTCTCTCT